ATACCCACTGGCCTTCTACAGAAGATTTCTTGGTCCTCCATTAAGACAACCTGTTCTTCTATAAGAACACCTAAGAATACCTCCTGTGTTCTCTCTAAAAGGCCTCCTGGTCTACTGAAAAGTAGTCCTCCGGGTCTTATAAAATAATACCAATACCTCGTGGTCTTCTATGAGAATACCTACTAGTCTCCTACAAAAGCGCCTACTGGTCTTCCATGAGAAGTCCTCCTAGTCTTCCATAAGAAGAACTCCTGGTCTTCTCAGGAAGACATACTGGCCTTCTATAAGCTGACCTACAGGTTTTCTTTAAAAAACCTATTGGTTTTTTATAAGACCTCCTGACCTTCTATAAGAAAATCTCCTGGTCTTCCATTAGAAGTCCCCCTGGTCTACCAAAAGAAGATCTCCGGGTCTTCCATTAGAAGACCTCTGTAAGAAGAACTCCTGGCCTTTTATGAGAAGACCTCCTGGCCTTCTACGAGATGGCCTCCTGGCCTTCTACGAGAAGACCTCCTGGCCTTGTACGAGAAGACCTTAAGCTCTTCTATGAGAAGACCTTCAGCTCTTCTATGAGGAAGACCTTCAGCTCTTCTATGAGGAAGACCTCCAGCTCTTCTATGAGGAAGACCTTCAGCTCTTCTATGAGGAAGACCTTCAGCTCTTCTATGAGGAAGACCTTCAGCTCTTCTATGAGGAAGACCTTCAGCTCTTCTATGAGGAAGACCTTCAGCTCTTCTATGAGGAAGACCTTCAGCTCTTCTATGAGGAAGACCTTCAGCTCTTCTATGAGGAAGACCTTCAGCTCTTCTATGAGGAAGACCTTCAGCTCTTCTATGAGGAAGACCTTCAGCTCTTCTATGAGGAAGACCTTCAGCTCTTCTATGAGGAAGACCTTCAGCTCTTCTATGAGGAAGGCCTTCAGCTCTTCTATGAGGAAGACCTTCAGCTCTTCTATGAGGAAGACCTTCAGCTCTTCTATATGAGAAGACCTTTAGCTCTTCTATATGAGAAGACCTTCAGCTCTTATATGAGAAGACCTTCAGCTCTTCTATATGAGAAGACCTTTAGCTCTTCCATATGAGAAGACTTTCAGCTCTTGCATATGAGAAGACCTTCAGCTCTTCTATATGAGAAGACCTTCAGCTCTTCTATATGCGAAGAAGAAGGAAGATATTCAGATCTTCCAAGAAAAAAAACATTCGTTCTGATATGGGGATGACTTCTGCTGAAGGTTAGGAAAATATATTTACCTTCTGTAGAAAACTCCTTTGGGATTCCTCCAAACATTCAGTAAAAGGAGTTGGTTTTTATGTTTCTTAAAATTTGTCTCGTTTTAAAGCTTAATTTTATTTTATTTACAAGAACATGCGATTTTATTTGCATCGCAATTCTTTTGTTTCCAAAAAAAAAAAAAAAAAAAAACAAAAAAAAACCTTGAAATAAAGAAAAAAATCCACTGTTTGTTATTCAATTTATGAACAACAAGTTGTTTGTGACTTTTAAAATATTTTTGTTTACCGCGTACAACGGACCCTCCTCTACTCGTTCATAATCAACAACCCTCGCATATTCTCACTCATACTCTATGTATATATGTGTGTGTATGCGTGCATTGGAGTGTTTACGTATTTAACTTTACCATTTTTGATTGTGTGTATATGTGTTTTTTTATGTTTTTTTGCATTTCGCCCTACTTTCCAGATCCAGTTGTGACATTGATGCCCGGTCAGGAATTGAATGTGGGGTTTTTAATGGAGGAACGCAAAAAACGTTGTGATAAAGACATCAATGCGCCACCTTTCGATGATTTGCGTAATTTTACCTATGAGGGGAGTGGGAGCATAGCGGAGTCCTTAAGTTCGTTAGCATCAGGTAAGTGCAGTTGGTTATTGTTTTCCTCTACTTTTTTCACTCATAACTTGAAAGATGTAAACCTGCATTTTTATGAGATTTCATGGTGCGAATGAAGGGTTCCATGGAACGTCATAGCAATTTTAGCCATTTAACAAGCAGTGCATTTGTATAAGTATTCCAATGATTTTGTGAGAAAAAAATCCGACATTGTTGTTTTCCCTTTCATTACATAGAAAACGAAGATGAAAAGTATACTTAATAAGCAGTGGGTTTTGTTATTATGATTATGCTATAAAAGACCTTGTTGATGGTGATGTTTGCTGGTTTTATGGAAAATAAATTATTATGAAGTTCGCTGTTATTACATTGTAAATTTAATTAATTTTATGAAAAATGTGTTAAAGTTTTTCTTAAATATATGAAAAAAATTTATAAAACATGTGACAAAGCATTGATTTTTTTATAGCATCTTTATACCCTACACAACCATGTTGTCAGGGTATTATAGCTTTGTGCAGCCCCAAAAGTTTGTAACGCTGCGAAATATTAGTCCTAGACCCACTTTTAAGTATATCTCGACTAGCTGAGTCGATGTAGACATGTGTGTCCGTCCGTCCGTCTGTCCATTATAATTTGTAAACACGATACAGGCCACAGTTATGGACCAATCTTCACGAAATTTGGCATGTAGGATGGGTTCTGCTCAATGAAGACCCCTATTGTTTTTGGTAAATTAATATTTAGTCGGATTTACTGGGCACTCCACAGGCCGCAGTTATGGTCCGAACATAGTGAAATTTTACATGGAGAGGGGGGTCGGGCAAAAGAATAAGCATACCTGTTTTGATAAAAATCGGTCAATATTTAGCGGATCAAATGGACCCAGACTTCTGTGTGAAAAATTACGAAATGTTTATTCTAGGGCGTATATACTTGCTCCTGAAGGACATATACCAGAACAGTTGATCGTATATCCAAGAGGATTTGTTGACCTTTAAATTGATACCAATTATATGGTTGTATGTACTCTGATGTAGGAGTTGTACGTAATTAGGTCAAGGTGACTATGTGCACACAGTATTGATATTACTCCATTAGAGAACGGACATGTCACGCTGATCGCTTTGAAAATGTACATGAAGTTCCGATTATGGTTAAGGACGACGCCTATAGTTTGCGGTGAAGTTGAGATTTCATTCAGGGGTGCAATGAACCGAAAACTGTAATTTTTGTCAGATTTTCTAGTCGCTCTAGAGGCAATTATTATATGCAGAATATCACATATTTTACAAGGTGAAGGGGATCTGACCAAATATATAATGGAGCTATATCTAAATCTGAAGCGATTTTCATGAAACTGTGCACACATCATTCTAGACTTAATTCAGTACGCTATGCCAAAATTCGTGCAAATCGAATTATTTTCAGAGACTTTAGTGGACTATTTACCTAAAATCGGGCAAAACTATATATTTTGGAGGTATATCTAAATCTGAAGCTTCTTCTAGACTTAATTCAGTACGCTATGCCAAAATTCGTGCAAATCGAAAGATTTCCAGGGACTTTAGTTTACTATTTACCTAGAATTGGGCGAAACTATATATGGGAGCTATATAGAAATCTTAACCGATTTTCACGAAACTTAACACACATCATTCTAGACCTTATTCATTACGCTGTGCCAAATTTCGTTCAAATCCAAAGATATATAGGGACTTTGGTACACCATTTACCTTAAATCGGATAAAAATATATATGGAAGCTATATCTAAATCTGAACCGATTTTTCCCAATTTCCTTGGGCCAAACAAATGAGCTGTGCCAAATTTCATCCAAATCGAATTATAAATGAGACCTGTACTTTGTTTACAATTTAACATGGACAGAAATAAGGACGGATGGACGAACATGCATAAATCGACTCAGAAAGTGATTCTATGCATATTCTCAAAAGGAACCATGGGTCTATCTCGATTATTTTTACCTGTTACAAACGTATGCACAAAGACATAATACCCTGTACCACAGTGTGGTGAAGGGTATAATTATGGATTTATTTTTCCCCAAACTAACTAATGTTCGTCCGTAGGGCTGTCCGAAATAACGATATAGATGACATTATTAAAATAGAGTTTTAATTTTTTGAAATGTTGTTTTCACTTGATCTTTGCATCGAATTCGTGGCCTACCTTTTCTGCGTGAACCATCAGTTTGCTTGTTCAGTGAGTCAAAAATTGCGAAGCGCGTCATCCTTGTGCTTTTCCAATTCGTCCACTTAATCTTTCCATCAAATTGGCCTTGGCCTTCACCTTCTGCATTAACCATTAGTTGGCTCGTTTTTTATACCTTTAGCCGTCGCCGCTGCAGCTCGGTACGTATGACTACGTCGATGTCCGAGAATAGATGGTACAACTCAGGGTTCATTCGACGGCGATATTTACCGTCAACTCATATAGGGCCGTAGATCTTTCGGAGAAATTTTTTCTCAAGCACTCCAAGAATTGTCTCATCTACTTGCGCATGTACCCATGCTTCAGAACCATACAACAACGAGCAGTCTTAACGTCATGTAGAGAGTGAGTTTGATCTGGCGAGAGGTGGCTTTGTGTTTGAAGAGTTTGCACAGGCCATAGTAACATTTGTTGGCCAACACTATTGGGTATTTGGCTCTTATTGGGTGTTAAATCTTCCTGCCAAAAAGTTACCATGCCATAACTCTAAGTCCTCCAACGATTACAGGCATTTTAAATGTAAACCGAACATAACGACGATATGTATACCCTACGCAACTATGTTGTCAGGGTATTATAACTTTGTGTAGCCCCAAAAGTTTGTAACGCCGCGAAATATTAGTCATAGACTCACCTTTAAGTATACCGATCGTCATATCTCGACTAGCTGAGTCGATCTAGACATGTGTGTCCGTCCGCCTGTCCATTATAATTTGTAAACACGATACAGGCCACAGTTATGGACTAATCTTCACGAAATTTTGCATGTAGGATGGGTTCTGGCCAATGAAGACCCCTATAAAGATCGGTTAATATTTGCCCCTGAAGGACATAGACCCGAGAAGTTGATAATATATCCAAGAGGAGTGATTGCCCTTTAAATTGACACCAATTATATTGTTGTGTGTACTCGGATGTGGGAGATATACTTAAATATTTATTGGTGCTTACGTACTGAGATATTATTCAGTAACCCACTACCATACTAGAGGGCGGAAATATAGCGCTGATCGCTTTTAAATGTTCCACGAGGTTCCAGTTGTGGTCAAGGACAACGCCTTCAATTGTCGGTGATGATCAGATAATAATTTGGGAAGAATTGGAAAACTTAATTTGTTTGTGTTTTTTTTTCGACAAGCCGAACATCACAACTCATAGTGAAGGGAATCTGGACAAGTAATTATAAGGGATGCACTGAATATTAGTAATATTCGGAATATATGTCAGTGTAGGGAAGAGGTTTTGTTGACCTCTAATCGGGCAAGCAAATATCACGAGATATTACCCAGGCTCGGAATAAAAATCGGCAGAAAGATAGAGTTCTGTGGTAGTTGTGTAGGGTATCGTATGGTCGGCCCCGTCCGACTATATAGCTCCGCTCATTATGTTTGTTTGTTTAAAAACGTTTTGGCCTTTTCACCACTTACAGGCAAAATCACAACCTTTTCTACTTCTTATGTAAAACGATTAGCCGAATATAATCACTTTCAATTTCCTCTTTCATTAAAATTCATAGACATAATTTTATGGACACCTAAGTGGCATCCTTTCCCAAAAACGAAAAAAATCCATTAACTTTTGATAAAATTACAATTAACAAATTATTTTGCTAACACAATTTCCTGCTTTCTTCTATTTTAGGCACCGACGATGAGAATCAAGACTTTAATTACTTAGAAACGTGGGGTCCGCGTTTCAATGCCTTGGCGGCATTATATCTGCAAGACAAAACGAAATTGAAACAGCCGACAGCAGTCAATGAGGAATTAACGCAGGAGAGTGGTGTATTATAAAATTAAATTAAGTTCATAGATTAAATAAGCCAGAAGAGAACAGTAGCGGCAAAGACGATGAAGAAGTGGAAGAAGAGTACCCTTTAAATCTCAACAACCTTGTAAATTAATATCGCCCCAACCTAAAATTAAAATTAAAAAAAAAATCAGAAACGAAACACAGAAATATCCAACCACAAAACAAACAAAAAAAATTCTAACAAAAAAAATAGAATCCCCGTTATAAATGGAAATGAACAAATACAAAAAAATAGTCTATTCGGAAAAACCAGGGCTGCAGCTAAATGAGCCACTAAACCAGTAAGAAAAGAAAAAAAAAACAAAAACATAAATATAAGAGAAAGTGTAAAATATCAGTAAAACTAAAATAAAAAATGACTTTTTTACATAGTCTATAAGTTGTAGCATACCAACCAACCAACCACTAGGAAAAAAAAGTCAGTCAAAGTTACTGGGAAAAAATGGAAGTTATAGAGCATAAATAACGAACATGGCCGGTGGCTTGGGGCAGGGGCATCGGAGGCAATGAAGAGGAAGAAAAAAATCAGCCAACAAAAACTACCTACGAAATGGTGCATCATAACAAATGCAATGCAACAGCAAGAAATGGAACAAAACGAGCAAAAAATTTGCTCCCACATAATGCTTAGCTAGTAGACGTTGTAGTTGTAGTGAGGTAGCCAACCGACCAGCCACCGAACGAACCAACCATCCAACCCAACAGCCAGCTTGTAATTAAGGACGCGTAAAAGAGGTTGAACGAAAACGAACGAAATGATTAAAATGAAAGAAGAATCTCTGTAAAATCGCCACTAGGAAATAACAGCAGCGGTAGCATCGGAAAAAGGAAAACATGAAAATCTCTCCGAAAAAAAAAAATTATATGATAGTTCTAGAGGATATATGAAGTAAGTTGAAGTACTGTTGTGTGTGTTTGTTGTTGTTTTTTTCTTCTCTCATTTTTCCATCTTGTTTGAAATATAAGAAAATCATATCAACAGCAGCAACAACAACAAGAACAACATTTGCTTTAATTAGCCGGTCAGTTTGCCATGATGTTAAGCCAAAGGTAAACTAATGGTCAACGTAGCGTATGATTATTAAAAAAAAGAGAGTGCATAATTAATTAAATTCATTATACGTTAGAGTGGATATGGGTTTTAATTTTATTATCCTTATTAGAGCATATCATATTTTGTGGGATTAATTATGGCATTAAAGTTATTAGGAAAAATAATCTTTAAAATGTTGTGAATTTTGCATCAAAAAATGGGAATTTTTTCCTGGAAAAAATATTATCGTCTCATGTGAAAGAAGATAATTGGAACAGTAATTAAGGATTTTGCTAAAAAACGGAAAGTACTCCTCCATATTTAATTCGACCTTTCTTTTTTGCAGCACCTTAAAATACTGTCAGAATAAAGTTCTATGTCTATATGGCCATGTCAGTAAACCTAAAACGATTCTATATTGAAAAGATATTTAAGCTTTGCTTTCACACACATTCTTACTGCTCCAATAGCCATTATAAAGCGATACCCTCATATATTTGATATTTTGGGGATTTGTAAACCCTGTCTAGCTGAATTTCCGGTATGTATATGAGGGTCTTATAGCTTTGTGTGACCCCAAAATTTTGTAACGTCATATCTCGACTAGCTGAGTCGATTTAGATATATGTGGCAGTCCGTTCGTCTATCTATTATAATTTTTAAACATATTACAGGCCACAGTTAAGCAGGCCAGAACATCAAACATGTGCGTGTGAATCTAAGCGATGTTTGACGTGTGTGGTACGGTGTTAACACCAATTTGACAATAGCCACACCGATCAATAGGAATTAATAAAATTTTAATTTTTCGTTGTCCGACCCTAACATGTTTGATATCTGTAGCATGGTGAGTGTGGATTTTTTCCCATTTATTGTGTATTTTTGTGGCGTGCGCATCGGCAGACAATTTCAAGCCTATGCCAAAAAAAATGTTTTGGAAGATTTATTTGATGTATTTTGCAAACTACAGTGTGGAAAACAGAAATGTTTTCCCGAAAAAAAATAAATTTATTGAATTTAAATTAAATAAAAACCATACGATACCCTACACAACTACCTCGGAACTTTAACATTCTGTGGATTTTTATTCCGAGCCTGGGCAATATTTTGTAATAGTTTCACCCTCCTAAACGATTAAAGGTCAACAACTATTACTGATATTCAGTCCAGCCCTTCTAATTACTTGTTCAGATTCCCTTCACCGTGAGTTGTGTTGTGATGTTCGGATTTCAATCGACTCGAAAAAAACACAAAAAAAAAAATAAGTTTTCTGTTCAATTCATCCCAAAACCAGTAAGGAAAGTAGTAAAGTCGGACGGAGCCGACTATATGATACCCTTCACCACTTTGAGTATATTCAACAGATGAAACCTTAAAGGACCAGTAAAATGAAATCTGCAAACGGTACAAAATTGTTCATTTGGTCAGATATAGAAGCTATATCTAAATCTGAACCGATCATTCGAGACCTAATTTGTTACGCTGTGCCAAATTTCGTGCAAATCGAATGATATATAGGGACTTTGGTGCACCATTTACATTAAATCGGACGAAAATATATATGGGAGCTATATATAAATCCGAACCGATTTTTAGGAAACTTAACACACATCATTCTAGACCTAATTTGTTGCCTTGTGCCAAATTTCTCAAAAGGAACCATGTGTCTGTCTTGTTTCCTTTTGCCTGTTACAAACATATGCACAAAGACATAATACCCTGTACCAGAAAAAAGAATTTGGTTGAAGAACCTCAAAACCGGGGGGCTACCAGAAAAAATTTACCAATATTTATAATTTATAGTGGAGAGATGTGCTACTTAATAAGAACTCGACGTACTAAATTACAGTCAATTTGGTCGAAAAATACGATAAGAACACCAAAAATACCAACAATTTGGGGGTACCGTTATATGGGGACTACCAGAAAAACTGGACCTATATTTATAATTTTTAGTGGAGTAATTTGGTACCCAATAATAACCCAATGTACAAAATTTCAGAGAATTCAGTTATAAAACGAGCCCAAGAACCCGAAAATACCGAAAATTGGGGGTACCCTTATATGGGGACTTTCCGAAAAAAAATTACCTTTATTTATAATGCGATCAAAACCCCCAAAATACCGAAAATTGGGTGTAATCTTATATGGGGGCTATCCGAAAAAATGGACCTTTATTTATAATATTTGGTAGGGAATTTTACTACCCAATAAGAACTCAAAGTTCCAAATTTCAGCGAATTCAGTTTAAAAACGCGCTCAAGAACCTCAAAATACCGAAAATTTTGGGGTACCCTTATATGGAAGCTATGCCTAAACGTGGAGATATGGTGATCGGTATACTTAATGGTGGGTCTAGGACCAATGTGTGTGGCCCGCTTTATAGAACAATCGTTACGAAATTTGGCATGTCGATTGAGTTGTTTTTGGTAAAAATATGCCTCGTCGATATATTGATTTTAGACCCTTTCTTTGGACCATATCCGTTTCAGACAATTTGGAGTCGAATTACAAATGTCTGTCCAACTATCTAGTTGTCGTGCGCACCAGCTAGACAGACGGGCTTCGAAGGGAGTAACCGATTTCATTCATACTTTGACATCGTAATATTTTCTCCAAACATAGTTAAAGTGTGAAGAAATGGGGAATATCGGTCCACTCCTTCTGGTACCTCCCCACAAAATGGTGAATTTGAAACAAACTTTGCACAACCTATCAACCTACCAAGACTAGAGCAAGTCGGAAGATGGAACCCGTTGGTCCATCCTTGTGGTACCTCCCCCACAAATGGTCAAAATTCTTTAATATTTATAAATTCAATATCAGGCAAATGGAATGACCGATTTTAACCACCCTAATATCTTTACCAAGCCTTGATGAAGCCCGAAGGTCGTAGCCGTCGGCTCTCTCCTTCTGGTATCTTCCACACTAAGGTTCAATGTTTTATAAACTTAGAAATTTAGTTTTACATAAATACTTTACATATATTTATATAAACGGAATAAAAAACATGTGTGTAATTCCGAAGACCTCCACACACCATAGGCTGTGGGTATAAATCTGCCGGCAACACCTACTGACATTTTTTACTCTATATGACACAATTATGACTAGGGAATCTGTTCATGGAATATGCATGGGCCAAGATTTTTGTGTGAAAAATTAGGAAATTTGAATTATAAAGCAGATAATTTGAAAGTATATCCCAGAGTAAAGGTGGACCCTTAAATTGATACCAAATACGTATATTGATTTATGTACTCGACTAAGGGAGTTCTACGTAAATATTTAATGGGGTTCCGTATTCTGATATTGTTTAGTCTTGTTCTCCAAGTCGTATTCAGGTAGTAAAAAAGTCGTTTACATAACGCCACAAATCGACGATTACAGTAATTCCATCGTTGACTTGCTCCGCCAAGATTACCTAATATTGTTAAGGTTTTCCACCAACGGTACTTGCGTATTTTTTGTGCATAAATTATCAACATATGTCCCATATAATCCTTTCGCCCACTTTTTCAATACGTTAATGGTTTTAGCCGCTTTTCAAATGTAAATGGCTGTAATATGACATTCCCGATTCGTGTAGAGAATGTTGACATAGCACCCACACAAAAATTGCGGCTTACTTTCGGCACCTTTAAGGACTCTCGCAGGGTGAAAAACAACTTTGCAGAAAGTATTCAATAAAGGTCCATATTTGGGCATAGGCCTCTTCCGCCACATCTTCGGTATATTGGTCCGTTCCCTATATGGATTTTCGACCATAAGTGAACGGACCAAAATACCGAAGATTAACGCTGAGGATGTTATGGAACAAATCAAGAAAATAGGCAAATAATTGGCTCAGATTTTTTACAAATATCTAAGGTCAATAAATATCCGATATCTCTTTCAAATGTCTGGGTACTGTCCTGAGGAATTTTGTAAAAAACGTTGTTCCATTTTTCATTTTTTCTGTGCAAAAAAATCGC